TACATATGTAACAAACCTGCACGTTATGCACATGTACCCTACAACTTAAAGTATAATAATAATAAATTAATTAAAAAAATAAAAATAAAAAAATAAAAATAAAAATAAATAAATATGTCATTCTACTCTTAAAAAAAAAAAAAAGAAGAAACTGAGTTAGTAATTAGTAATTAAAGATCTTTCAACAGAGAAAAGTCCAAGCCTAAATGGTTTCACAGGTGAATTATTTAATATTTACAGAAGAAATAATCCTACTCAAATTCAGAAAATAAAAAAGGAAATACTTTCCAAATCATCCGTGAGTCTAATATCTCTCTCAAAATGATGCCATACAAAAACCTATCACAATAAAACAACAGGTCAATATTCTTTATAAATATAGATGCAACAGCCCTTAATAAATTTTAACAAACACATTTCAGAAACATATAAAATGGATTATACATGATGATCAAGTGGGATTTATCCCAGGAATGCAAGGTTCATTTATCATTCAAAACCAATTAATAGAATTATTGATATTAATAAACAACAGAGAAAATGCAAAATTCAGCACCTATTTATGATAAAAACTCAAAAATCTTAGATGGAAAGATCCTCAACCTGTTAAACAGTATTCATGAAAAACTGCAACTAATATCATACTTAACTATGCAAGACAATGTTTTGTTTTAAATCATAAATAAGGCCAGAATGTCTATTATTAACAAAGAGAAGGTTCTAGCCCATGTATTCAGTAAGGAAAAGCAATTAAAGTCATAAACATTTGAAAAGAAGAAGCAAAACAGTTTTTATTCAAAGGTAATATAATGTTACATATAGAAAATTCTAAGAAATGTACCAAAAACATAATTGAACTAATAAATGTTTTTAAAAATCAAAGTATAAAAGATAAATGTAAAAATCACTTCTATTTGTAGATATTAGCAATGAAAAATTTGTGTGTAAAGCTAAGAAAGTTGTTTATTCATAATATAAAAATAACAAAACATTTAAGAATAAATATAACAAAAGAAATATGAGACCTGTATATGGTAAACTACAGAACTTTGGAAGATAAATTAAGAAAGATCTGTGGAGAAAAATTCCATACTCACAGATTGGAAGACTCCATATTAGGAGAGCAGGTCTCCTCAAATTTAACTATAGATTGAACATGAAAGACTTAGTATAGTTAAAGCAATTTTTAGAATGAACAGCATAGGATAACTTATACCATTCAATTTCAAAACAAACTCTAAAGCTATAGTAATCAAAACAATGTGGTACTGGCTTAAGAATAGGCAAGAAGAAAACCTCAAGTTTATGATCTGTTGATTTTTGACAGAAATGCAAAGACAATTCAATGATGAAAGGATAGTTTATTCAACAAATGGTTCTATAACAATTGAATATTCATCTGCAAAACTGAACTTACACCTTTACCTCACGTCCTGCATATAAATCAACTAAAAATGTGAAAATGTGTTATAGACCTAAGTGTTAAGAGCTAAAATTATAAAACTTTCAGAGAAACTATACGAAAAAAAGATCAGTGATCTTGGGTTTGGAGAATGTTTCTTAGATAAGACACACAAAGCACATTTCACGGAATTAAAAGGTAACAAATTAGACTTCATAAAAATGAAACTTTTGTTGACATTATTAAAGATAAAATAATAAGTCATGGACAGGGAAAAAATACTTGCAAATCATATATCTCATTAAGGATTTAATCATAAATATTTAGAGAACTCATAACTTATTAATAAGACAATCCAATTGAAAAGTGCCAAAAGGTTTTATCAAAGAAATATTAAAAAGCCAATAAGTTCATTAAAAGATGCTCAATGTCAGTCATTAGAAAAACGTAAATTAAAATTTCAGTGAGCTACATAGTCACTAGAATGGCTATAATCAAAAAGCCTGATAATACCAATTGTTGGTAGGAATATGAAGAAACATTAAAGTAGAATGAAATATGTAGAAGACAGCTTATAAGTTTCATAATAATTAAACACAAAACCTATCATATGATCCATGGTATTAGGCCGTTCTTGCATTGCTATGAGAAAATACCTGAGACTGAATAATTTATAGAGAAAAGAGGTTTAATTGGCTCACGGTTCTGTAGGCTTTATAGGAAACATGATGCTGACCATCTGTTTGACTTCTGGGGAGGCCTCAGGAAGCTTACAATAATGGTGGAAGGCAATGGCAGAGCAGATGTGTTATATGATCAGAGCAGGAACAAGAGAGAACAAGGAGGGAGGTACCAGATACTTTTAAACAACCAGATCTCACAAGAACTCACTGTCGTAAGAACAGCACCAGGGGGGTGGTGCTAGATCATTCATGAAAAATCTACCCCCATCATTCAGTTACCTCACACCGGGCCCCATCTCCAACATTAAGGACTACAATTGAACATGAAATGTGGTGGAGACACAGATCCAAGCCATATCACGCATCAATTCCGTGAATCAATATCTGCCCGAAGAAAGTGACAACTTTTGTCCAAGACTTGAATGTGAACAATAACTGCATTCTTCATAATAAACTAGAAACCTCTAAATGCCTGTCAAAGTAGATAAATGCAATGTGGTATATTCTTACAATGGAATACTATTCTGTAATACAAAAGAATGGACTAATGAAACTTGAATGAACCTGAAAACATTATGCTAAGTGAGAAAAGCCAGACACAGAAGACTATATATTATATAATCCTGTTTACATGGAATTTCCAGAAAAAGCAAACTATGGAGAAGGAAAGCAGACCAGTGCTTGCCTAAGCCTGGGGTGATCATGTGAATTGACACCAGACAGATGTAAAGGAACACAATGGTGTCATGAAAATGTTCTAATATAAAATTGTGGTGATGGTTGCACAATTGTTTAAATATACTAAAAATCATTAAATTTTTACATTTACAAGAGGTGTATTTTATGTACACATACCTCAAAAAAGCTGTGTAAAAAATGAAATAGGTTTTCGAAAGATGACAACACTTCAGCATTCTCATTCATGATCAGAGCATTTGAAATACAACTTTTTAAATTCACCCCAAAGATATAATATCTAAGTAGGTCCTACTTTGAGATATCTTGTTAAAATATATTTTCTCACTTCCTGCTCTATGAGAGTTCAGTACCTACAACAATAATTAAAACATATTTCTTATATTATAATTGGATGATTTTTTAAAATTAGTTAAAGCTGATCAGACATTTATTTTACTTGATATTGCACATCTGTGAAGTTAAAAGTTAATTACTTTTTTAAAAAGTAATTGAGTCTAATACACAGGGCCTCAATATTTTCTTAGAAAATTATTTCTTCATCATCTCTTAGAAATATTTTATGGTAATGACACAAATAAAACATTGAACAAAAATTTATTTCATAATTTCATCTGAATAACTTTTTCCAATTTCAATTGTGGTAGAACATCACGTAAAATTGAGCGTCTTACCTATTTTTAAGTATACAGGTAAGTGGCATTAAGTATATTCACACTGCTGTGCTATATAAATCACCATCAATCCACAGACCTCTTTTCATCTTGCAAAACTGAAACTCTATACCTATTAAATTCCATATCCCTTTTCTCCTAGCCCCTGGCAACCACCTACTTACTATCTCTGTAAGTTTGACTGCTCTAAGTATCTCATTCAAATGAAATTTTACAGGATTTTTTCCTTTTGTGATTGGTTTATTTTACTTAGCATAATGTCAAGGTTCATCCATGGTGTAACACATGTCAGAATTGCCTTCTTTTTTAGGGTTGAATAATATTCAATTGCATATATATGTGCATAATTTTGTTTATTATTCAATGGTTTGCATTTGACACTTTGGTTGTCTCCATCTTTTGACTATTATAAATAACATGCTATGCACATAAGTGTAAACATTTTTTTCCAGTCCCAACTTTCATTTTTGCTGACTATATACCCAGAAGTGGCATATCTGGATCATATGATAATTCTATTTTTAACTTCTTGAGGAACTACCACACTGTTTTCCACAGCAACTGCACCATTATATTCTCACCAACAGTACTCGAGAGTTCCAATTCCTCCACATCCTCACCACCTGATTTGGGGATTAGGGCTTTGCTTAGTTTGCATACTATTGACTAAACTGTATGTTCATGATCTAATAGAATAGAATTAACAGAACCCATTACTCACAGTTAGAATGGTGTATTAGGCTCACACTTCCTCCAAGTATCTCTTTGTGGTCTGCCATCCACCTGCTTAGAAACAGTATACTGAAGCAATATTTCACCTAGAAAAATTTAAACTCAAAGTTAGATCAAACTAGAAAGACTTTTAAACCAAACTAAACACAAATCCAATACTTAATGCTTTAATCATGAACTACATCTTATCCCATATACAAATCAGAACTAAATTCATGCATTTAAAAAAATGGTTAAAGAAAACTCTGAAGCATTGAACTATGTTTCCAAAATAAATATAAACTTTAATGTATCACTTGGTTCAAGTCTCTTAATGAGACTTAATGAGACTTGAACCAAGTGATAGAAGTTTGTTGAATGAAGTTCAACAAACAAGAGTGTAGACGTTTGTTGAATGAAGATAATATTGGCATTTGGAGTTCCTGCTGCAAAACTGCATATTCTGTGCCATTCAAGCCTAGAGCTACAGGAATTAGTGTGATTTCAGGTTTTTACTGATTATAGAGCATTTCCATCTAATACCTGGGATTCTCAGTAAACATCCATTTTCTCTGGAAGCTAGTTTTCCCGTATCATTTCAATTGATCTTTAGCTTTCTTACGAATAACGTCTTCAATTAATTCTTGAGAGTTCATGGTTTTTTTTTTTCCCTGTCCTCTGTATGTTTAACATTTTCACATTTTTAAACACAAGTATTTAGTTTTGGGTGTCAGGCAACAGATTAATTTTAATTCATGTCACCATCCATTGTTCTGTCAATCCATGGTCAAACAAAAATTAACAATAAGATTGATTCTGATACTTGATAAACAGGTCTCTCCTTCATGAGTAAGGCAACCATCAACAGCAGAGCCACTTTAGAGTCTCCTGGGAAAGTGTGAACATGACAGTAAACAGCCTACATCAAAGACATTTCAATTCAGCAACAAGCCTTTCTGTTTCAGGTAAGTGATATACACTCAAACAAAACATTAATCAGAAGACCTATTTCATCTCCCTGGGGAATATGACTAAGTCTACTCTCTAAGTGTGATTTTGAACAAGAAAAGAGTTTCTTTGAGGAGATATAGAGGCTGAGATAAGCATCTTAAATATAATACGGATTTCATGGTAATAAAAAGAGTCTTGCTGCAAGTTAATATTCTAACATTGTAAAATTTTAACTCCTTCTTCTGATTAGGCTCATCAACTTGGGGCCTCTATTTGTGCTCCTCTCTAGCTGGGTGGTTTCAGTTAACATAAACTTGAGAATGGTAGAGAATATGGCATTTACATTGTCTACATAAGGACTGTTTGACCTGTTTGAGTGTAGAAGTTTGTTTACTCATTTGTTTTCTATTATATCTTAAAATATGAAATAAAAAGGAGAGACTAGCAATAAAGTCTGGAAGTGGAACATGCAAAGAGGATGATATTTATCTTCCAGAAGGAGAGGGCCACTGTTGTGGAAGTTTTTACCCACGCCATACTTTTGTTTGAAAATGTCACTTGTTTGTTAGAGTATCTGTGGAAGCCACATCTAATTGACAGATAATGGTCCTTTGGTCTGTATTTTCATCCTTATTTTTATTCTTGCAGAAAACAATGAATTCAATTCACTCTGACTCTCATCCTACATTTATTCCTTTGCTGTTATCGCTGAATCTCAAAATCTTCATGTACAGCATAGGGTCTAAGAAGGATCTGTAGTGTTATGATTTGGCCATATCCTTTCTTGACTCTCATACAAAAGCTGAGGAAAAAAGAACGTCATTTAGAGTGGCTGTGTTTTTCCTGGACCATCTTGTACAAAGAATCCAGTTTCTGCTGAAATTCTGACAACCCTTGAAAAAGCTAAAGCCTGTAACCCAAGTTAATTTTCTTGCTTTGCTAAGAATGATAATCTTGTCATAAATGCTATTTAAAATTTTAATATTTGAGCTAAAGTAGCACATGGGAGGTAGATTTTTTTAAAAGAATGAAATGTTATCTTTTTTTGTAACTTGAAAGTGAATGAGCATATTTTGTTCTAAATCTTAAAACAGATTTAAATCTGATGTTGATCAAATATGGAAACACTAGTAAGTTGCCTTTGGAAATCGTGTATTCACAGAAACACAATAATGAAAGGCGTCTTACAAGAACATAACACCATCTTTTACAAAGCCAATACATCCGTTATTTTTATTTCTTACAAAAATCTTTTTGGGAAGGTGAAACTTCATTTTCTATCAGTGATTATATTGTCTTCCCTTATAACTGTTTTCATAATGAAGGTGCTGGTTTCATCCTATGGCAGAGTCTTTTATTGAGGATATACTTCGCCTAATGCTCTCTCTTTTTGCAACCAAAGACATGATCAAAAAACAAGATAAATTTATTTTTGTTTGTTCTGTTGCAATGAAAAGGGCTTTAGGAAAGAAAAAACAATAATCTCTTCAATGTTTACTTCCAAGGAAGGTAGACAGGCTCAATGCTCATGAATGACCTTTACTCCATTAGTGTGTTGTATATATCAGATATATTTTACTTACTTTCAATACAGGTGTGAATTAACATTTTTATTGCATTATTAGTGATGAATCAAGATAACACTTTTTTTTCCTTAATCTTGTTTACCTTTGGCATACTAGGAAACTGACTACTGAAGTCTAGTATATAACATTTTTCTTTTATGAACAATCTAAGCTTCTAAACATACAAATTTTGATGATTATTATTCTTGTTACTTGCTGATCTCAAATAGATCAAGAAAGTGGTGATTCCTTATATTCAGAGCTAGCCAGACCACTCCTTAGAATGTAGTGGTCAAATTTAATTTCCACAACTGAACATTTCTGAAGAGTTTTTATATACTTTTTTTAATGTATGAGTTTCATATACTTTTTAAAAATAAGTTTTAAATAATTTACAAAAAATCAGGGGAAGATATAAAGGGTTTGTTAATTCAATTTGAAGAAAACATTGAGTAATCTGCATGTTTTAATTTGGCAAGTAGACACATAAGGTAGAATTAATCGTCTTTTTACCATCGCAAAACAACTGATCAAATGTCTCTACCATGAGATATAATTCAGCTAAATCAATCACGTCACTTAATTTGGTTAGTCAAAATGGTTAATCGGGTAACTCTACACAGATATTCCTAAAATGGTTTTAAAAAATGAAAAGAAGTAAGATTACTATTTATACTGAAAAGAAGTGTGGGAGATTAAGTTTACTGCAATAGTATGGGGGAATTAAACAGTTTATTCAAGATTACACTACACTAAGTATTGAGTCACACTTTTTATGCTCAACTCTTAACATTATAAATCTTCACCTCATTAGACTTTAGACACATTTTTTTTTCTGCTATGATTTTCTTTCTAATTATTTCTGGAACCTCCTGGGGCATGTTTATAAATTCATACCCATTGCACTATGGATCCTAATCCTGCTCTCCGGCTCTGGACTCCCGGATCCTGTGAAATGTCTTGGCCACCATGAATTGATACACTGCAGGCTGCTTTACTCTCCTGTATCGTTTTGTTCTAAACATGGGTCAGGCCTTAACGTGAATCGCCTGCAGACCACATTAAGGGGGTGGTAACATTTCATAAGACTTTTTTGTTTTTGTAGAATTTAACACATGAAAAGATAGGAACTACTGGAGGAGAGTAACAACAAGACTTCACATTGCCCTTTATTGTATAAATAACTGACGTTCCTCTCTGATATGTGACCTCTAACTAAGAAGAGCTTCTCCCCAAGTCCCAGCAACAGTGGAGCATGTCCACTTCTAGCCCTGAGCCTACCCAAACCCTAAGACTCAGAAGATTTTTTTTTTTTTTTTTTTTTTTTTTTTTTTTGCCTCATCTCTGGCTAAGGTCACCACTACACATTATTGGGTTGATTGGTTCTCTAGATGTTTTAAAGTAGATATTTATCTCCATTTCTTACTGGTGAAATCAAACCTTACCCACAGATTCTGTGACCTCAAAATAAATGAAACAATTGTCAGACATCAGCATATACTGCGAAGTCTAGGTTGTTCAGACTTACATAATGCCAGACCCGAATCCAAAATTGGATAGTGCTAAGGTTGGCCCGTTTCAAGGTACTTCTTACCCAAGTTCACTTTGCTTGTGAACAAGAGTATTTATAACGAAAAAGAAGAATGTCTCATCTGTTTGTTCAACCCCTTGATCAAAATCACATAAAACGGGTATTTATATAATCAACTCTTCTCATTACTGTTAAGACCAAAATATTCATTATAGTATATTGATACGTACACAGGCCTAGGAAAGACCTAGTTTTGATAGACAGTCTTACACAGTCTCAGCCTATACAAAAATTTAAAAAAAGTCCTAAGTAAATTATAGTATCAAGTGTTCCTGGCTCTTAGGAAATGGTATGCATTCAACTCTCATCTAATGTCATCTAATGTGCTTCTTTACATTTTTATGGGGAAATACAGACAGTAAGAGCAGGATAAATTAATTTTCTTTAATATAAAATCAAAAGAAATATCAGTGTAGCCATTCTAATATTTCAATGTTTCCTAAACAATTTCTTTTTTTTGCCCCATCTAAGCCATAGAAATAAGAAAAAATAGAACAGAATGAACAATACTTAATTCAATAGCATTGGAAGCAAGTTATAAAATATATTGCTATTGGAACAGTCTGTAGTATTGATGAAAGTGTATATTAGTATGACATTTCTCTGGGGAATTTTGACAATATAAAAATTAAAAAGTGTACATCTTTAAAACAGAAATTCTACTTGAAAATAATTTTAAACAGGTAATTAAACATATGAAAACTATATGTAAGTATGCACTGCAATTGATAGCACTTTTTGACAGCCATATGGAAATTAAAGTAATCTAAATATTCAACAATAGAGCAATGGCTTTATAGATTATGGTGCCTCCACCTTTTAATGTTATATGTATTTTAAAATTATCTTTTCAAAAAAGATTAAATGCTACCCTGTCTTCCACAATGACTAAATATACACTCAAAAAACCTAAACAGAAATACTATTCAACTCATCAATCCATTGCTGGGTGTATACCCAAAGGAATATAAAACTCACACCTGTAATCCCAGCACTTGAGACCGAGGTGGGTGGACCACGAGGTCAAGAGATCGAGACCATCCTAGCCAACATGGTGAAAGCCTGTCTCTACTAAAAATACAAAAATTAGCAGAGCATGGTGGCACTTGCCTGTAGTCCCAGCTACTCAGGAGGCTGAGGCAGGAGAATCACTTGAACCCGGGAGGCAGAAGTTGCAGTGAGCTGAGATTGTGCCACTGCACTCCAGCCTGGTGACAGAACAACACTATCCCCCCCAAAATAATAATTATTATTCTATTATAAAGACACATGCATGTGTGTGTTCATTAAAGCACTAGTCACAATAGTAAAGACATGAAATAAATGTAAATGTAAATGTCTATCAATGATAGACTGGATAAAGAAAATGTGGTACCTATACACCATGGAATACTATGCAGCCATAAATAAGAACAAGATCATGCCCTTTGCAGGGACATGAGTGGAGCTGGAGGCAATTATTCTTAGCAAATTAATGCAGGAACAGAAAACCAAATACATTTTCTTACTTGTAAGTGGGAGCTAAATGATGAGAACACAAAAACACTCAGAGGGGAACAGCACACACTGGGGCCTTTCAGAGGGTGAAAGGTGGGAGGAGGGAGAGGATCAGGAAAAAAACAACTACTAGGTACCAGGCTTAATACCTGGGTGATGAAATAATCTGTACAACAAGCCCCCGTGACACAAGTTTAGCTATGTAACAAACTTGTAAATGTACCCCTGAACTTAGAATAAAAGTTTAAAAAAAGATATTTGATGTCTTGAGTAATGCTTACATAACACTATACATTGAAACACCAAATATGAAATTACGTAAGTGGACAGGTATGCTCAGAAAATTATAAAAACATAGTTA